TTCGTGTGCGTGATTATGTGTGTTTTCGGACGCTCGTGTTGGCGGTGCTGTCGAGGATATATACTAGCGGACACGGTATGCTGCGTTTGCATTTTTTTGCGTGTTTTATTTGCACGCCTGTGTACTTTGTTTCATGCCGGTGAAGTGTGTTTACATGTATCGGCCGGTTGTCCGCGAGAATCTATTTGGCGCTTATGTGATACATGGCACTCATTGTTTAAACTGCGCATGGTGTAAGGCGTACGGTATAATACGTAACAGTTCAGCGTGCATCGTACAAATTATTTCTGTCATTACAAGTAACGTGGATGTGGTAGAGCAGGGTATTGCGACGAAAGGACACCTGTATCTACAGGTGGAAGAAATAGTGAAGTATATGAGACTCTCCTGCTTCGTAAATAAATGTGAAGGATGAGCTAGTAAAACGTGTAGGGCTTGTCTGATGAATGAACGGTAAAAAAATTTTTTCGCTAAATTAAGAAATACTATTCATTATAAAAAACTCTCCTTTATGGTAGGGAACCTTTCTTTTACGAGAGATGTCAAAAACATCGATCGATGAAATAACATATCTTTGTTGAAACAGTGAATAATTAACTCTTTGTCATCTTATTTTTTTCTTGCCTAAGTATCTTATTTGCTTGTAGTATTCTCCTGAAATAACTCGGAAGTGATCGGGAAGTGATTGAAAACATTATGAAGAAGATAATAATTTACTATGTTGGTTTCTAGAATATGTTTGAGAAATATTATATTGAAGCAAATGCTTTTCCCTATTGGGAATATACAATTCCAATGAAAGTCTGAAATATATTTTAGAAATGAAAGCTGTATTGCTCGTATTGAACAGAAATATGTCAACTAAAACTTTAAATTGATTACCCTAGTCAATAAATTGATAGTAAAAAGGCAAATTTTATTCTAAGGATAATACAGCTGCGCAAAACGGCGCACACAAACAATCACACATTATGAAACGTGTAAAAATTGTTGCGTAGTCGTATGCTGCGCACGGAAGTCTTCAATATAAACAGTCTCTATATTAACAATCAATGCTTTCTCGTTACATCCACGAAGCGTAGCCAAAAAAATAAAATAGTTTCTAATCTAATACATGTCATGTGAAGCCTTTCGATTGTCACTTCATGTTCTTTCTCCAAAGTTGGAATGGTGTAAGATGCCATGCTATCAGTGGAACCCTGTGAAACAAATATTTGATATTGTTAACGGCTTTGAATCCAAACGTTGCACGGCGAGCCATATCTTAAAAAAATGGAAATCTATCAATCTATCTTCACGTGCAAATGAAAACAACTCTTGTCAAGACAATTTGCTGACAAGAGAGGCTCTTCAGAATATCATACTTTCCAGTCAGAATAATACTGATAGAGATAATTTGTATTGAGTGTTCCGGTATCTTTTTTAGTATATTTGTCCATTGAACTTTATGGTAAATTTATCTGCTAGCGTAATCCGTTGCATCCTGGTTCCTGGAGAAATCATCTTGTTGTCCCCTTATCGCAACAAACGTCTGCAAATATTTGTTCAACAACCAACTGCGGTGTATGGAAAATAATCTGGACCAGCTAAATCATATTTCACGACATGATTCTCCTTATAAATTGCAAGTCAAAGAAAAAGGGCCTTTCAGAGCGATTAAAAAAAGTGTTAATCAGTGTTGGAGGTAAGTTTTGCAATTTTTTGAACAATCTTTGTTACAGAGTCTCAACGACGTTACATAATAATCTTAGTTTGCCTCCCTGCAACTTGAGGCGTGCGAAGCGAGTCCGTCAAATATTTTGAGAGACGTTTTCGTGCGTGTTATTTACTACAATAATACACTGCGTGCTATCTCTCTTACAGACTCGAATGCAGAGGGCTAGATACAAACGGACCAGTAATGTTAGTGCTCCTTTCTATTCCAATGTCAGTCTTGTAAGTAAGGGTATTTAGAGACGTGACTCATCACCCGTGACCTCTTATTAATTCATTGAAGACGCTCACGCGACGCAGTGTTGACAAGCATTGTCCTCTGAATGGAGTTCAAAAGCCACATCACATGTCATAATCGACCAAAACCTCTGAATGACTTCCTTAAATTAAACGAAGAAAAGGAAACTATTACTAATACCGCGCCATGAAGTAAACACATGGCTATTTTCTAATTTGAATTCCGAGAATTGTCTGAATAATATGTCCGTCTATTTGACAGATAGCGACTGACAGGAGTGAGGGGGGTGTCCGATGTTCAATCCGAGGCTTCAAATTCTCTCACTGCAGAGTTGCCGACATTTATGAAGAAAGAAATGAAATCTGCCAGCGCGAAGCATCTGAATATTGAAGAGCGCCGTTAGTTGTTACTTTCTCACCTTACGAATTCTTTGTAAGCAGAGAAAGTTATATAACCGTGCGACAGAAAACGCAAAAAATTCGCTAGAAGAAACCTTATTTGGTTATGCGTCGTATAAGCGGTTCTGTGTCGTTCGCTGTTGTGAGCTCTTATTGCGATTTGTTTCGTGCTACTGCTAGTGTTGTCTTCTGATGCGAGAACGACCTCACGACCACGTGTCTGACGCCCAAGTAAGTGGCAGACATATTATTCAGACAAGTAAGACAGACATATTATTCAGACAATAGAAAGGAATCAGAATTCTTTCCATACTCTTTCCACCCCGTCTTCATTATCAATATGTGTTCTGTGCATCAATTCATTCATCATTCCGTGGTGGACACAGAAACTTATGAGATACACGTATTTGGTTTGGACCCTTTTCAAAAGTATAAAATTATTTTTTTGTGATACGATTGCTCAGGAACCTTCTCTTCTTAGTGATATGCAAACCCAACATGCAGACTGACATCACTCCAACTTATAACTTGAGAATCTAATTGGGTACAGCCATAATCGCCAAGTCTGAATGGCTCACGTTTTGGGATCATATGAAGGGCTTCGTGAAACATATCTTACGGGTCGCTCAATCTTGGCATTTGTGTTGAGCGAAACGAGTTCGCTGTGGGTTGGTTCTGAATCTCAGCTTCTCCGTGCTTCTGATTCCCCCATCGCTCATCAATCACCAATCACATCATCATAATCTTCAGCTATACATGAATGTATTCGTCACCCCAACTATAGCCTCAGGCTCAGGTACATGAATTATAACAGTATAGACGAATTCAGTGTACAGTGCAATAATGTTGGGATCTTGAATTGCTCTAACGTTAGGTTTCTCTCAAGGTCGGATGACTGGGATTTCGCGTTCTTTTGCGCGCGCAAGAGAGAGATTTTGCGTTTTTCTTAGAGAGAGGGGGGGAGAGAAAGAGAGAGGAGGGAGGGAGAGAAAGAGAGAGAGAGGGAGGGAGAGAAAGAGAGAGAGGGAGGGAGGGAGAGAAAGAGAGGGGGAGGGAGGGAGAGAGCGACGGAGGAAGGGAGTAAGATAAAATAACTTGTCTCCATGGGGTGGCTGTTGCCCCCCCCCCCCAACGAATTCCGAACTGAGTGTTTGCGGATTATATTTTAGAAAACTTGCATAACATTCCCGTGTACCTGTAAACGCAACGTATGTATCAGAGATGCTGATGTCAGAAGCCATGCTCTTTGAGATGTACTAGATTAATTATACTGCATGCGTTATTTGTCATAAAACACATGCACACTGGATACATCTATCTCTGTGTTGCAGATGTAGGCTTCTGGTCAACTAGATTTATGATGATGCTTTATCTGTTTGCCAAAACACTTCTCGGCATCTTTCTATATAGATTCGTTGCTTGTATGTTGAAGACCGAGTCTTCTGATCGAAAATATCTTTTCAACCGCAAATTAAGGCCAAACATTTCAAATTTAGAACAAGCACATTCATTTTGAGATCAATCACTTAGGAATTAAGACCAATTACTTTTAAACTTGGATAATCGTGATTAAGTATGTTCAAATGGAAAATAATCAAGGAAAATCATGTATGCAATTCAAATGGATTGAACATTTATTGATTATTGAAAAACAAAAGGAAATTCTAACTTCTTTCACTTCTCTCCCTCTTCCTCCCTCTCTCCCTCCCCTTCCCTTTCTCACACACTCATTCACACACACATACACATTCTTTTCCTTTCCATTCTCTTCCTCCTCGATTCCCTTCTTTTTCTTCTTATTTCTCTGTATGCTTGGATTGTCCTCACATAGAATGTGTTTAGTCCCATTCTCAATGTGATTGTTCTCGGATTGATTATACGATGTCTTAATGTGAACGTAATACTTTACAATGAGGAGACTCAATTTAAATGTGCTAAGTCTATTTGAACGTGCTAGGTCTCAATTTCAAAGGGATGTCTCAATTTAACGTGCTAATCCTCAATTTGAACGTGCCAAGTCTCATTTTGAACGTTCTGTCTCAATTTGAACGTGGCAAGTCTCAATTTGAACGTGGCAAGTCTCAATTTGAACGTGCCAAGTCTCAATTTGAACGTGCTAATCCTCAATTTGAATGTGTCAATTTGAGCGTAACATGTCAGTTAGAGATTGAAAGGGTATAGATTTGCGAGACGATTGTCCCCAGTCCGAGTATTTCTCAAGTGTAACGGCCTGTTGCAGACCGAGAGCGAATGCTCGTGCGGGGAGCGCGCCGAGGAGTCGGCGCGCCTGACGGCGGCGGGCGACGGCGGCGGCCCGGGGGCGGGCGGGGGCTATGAGTGCAGCCCTCCGCCCGCCGACGAGGACGTGCTGTCGTACTGCGAGTACCACGACATCCCGCCGCCGCCCGACGGCGGCTACGGCTGGGTCATCGTCATCGCCTCCTTCCTCTGCAACATGATCGTGGACGGCATCGCCTACACCTTCGGCGTCTTCCTCGGCGAGTTCGTCACCTACTTCGGCGAGGGCAAGGGCAAGACGGCGTGGGTGGGCTCGCTGCTGTCCGGCATGTACCTCAGCGCAGGTGAGTCGCTTGCTCGTGCAGCTGCTTCGGCAGGAAGGGCCCTCCGCGACAAACGAAAATGCCTTTCACCTGGTTCCTAGCGGGCTGGTTGCTACCAACATCAATGCAATTTTTAATAGGAGCTCTTCAGGATTGGAACTCGGCGCGGAGAGACTTTTCTGGAGCGATGAAGTTATTTTAGTATGTTTTTAAAGAAAGGTGTTGTCGTGAGAAGCTGCTAGCAGGGTCGCTGTTTTATGAGCTATAAAATAAAACGTCGATGTTAGGAAAAATAAATTTAGTTCCTACATTAAAGCTACATTTTGCATTTAGAAAATTTACTTATTTTTACGTTTAACTGCGATTTTCTAAACGATTTGCAAAAGGGGAGAGTCATTTCAGTTTTTGTCATACGGATAACTAGGAATTATCGCATTACAGAGATCTGAAAAATCAATATGAAGAGATGAGATTGTTATTTTACAGAAATAAATTAAATATTTACATAAATATCTAAATAAATAAATTAAATAAATAAATAAGGGATGAAAAGTAATTAAAATAGTTTTCGTCAATAAATCCAGACTGCATTATTTCTTAACTATCGAATTGGATAATAAAACTTTAGTTACTATTCTGATCATTTTTCATTTTATTTTGTCAGTTAAATCTGAATTAAAAATTATTTTTTTCAAAACATCGTTGTTTTGTTGGCAATGTCGCATCCCTAGTCTAAATTGGAGAGTCAACGCGCAACGCAAATGCTAATTTGGGATGGATGCAGAACAGTCAGCGTCAATAACTCCAAGCGGCCCCTTTTGCGTTTCCAAACTAACAAGTCATGCGAAAGGACTGTGCTGCTTCTCGATTTCCTTTGTTTTTTTGCGTTTAGTGTTGCTGAATAATCTTTAGGCTGTGTCTGAAGGATAGACAGCAACAAGAAAAGTCACTCTAGCTACAGCAAGCTTCCCTCTGCTCGTGAATGTATCTCGATTTTGATTGAAGTGTGCCTCAACTTGTTACTGACCCAAATCCTTGACAACGCTGGTAATCCATTTATTGGCATTGTCAACCTGCGAGAAGCTTTTATCTTCCAAACAGTTATCAGAACTTTGGTACATAACATTGAAAGCGACAGTTAATTTCTCACCCTCCGGGAATCGTACCCGGGATTGCGGCATAGAAAGCGAGCTGGCTAGCCACGAGCAACCTGGGGAAGTGGGGTTTATTCATTTACATAAGTGTCAAAAATCAGTATGTGACGTGTGAGGGAGAAGTGTAATGTGCCCAGTACGTTTTCTTGAGCTACAGAATCCCTTCCCCACTCCTTTACTACAAATATATTAATTATGAAGAAATACACCAAAAGCTTAGTTCGCATAATTTGAAAACTAGAAAACCTTATTTGCTCCGGCAAATGAATGGTTTGTATTTATGGTGCTCCTACAAAATAATCCCTACCCTCGTGCAACTAGACAGAGAGGGCTCAATAAAACGTACTCATAGTGAAGCTATAATAATACATTTATGCTGATCTAACAAGGGACCTTTCATCATATGCGGGCCGAAATCTGGCCTGATATTTTTTTTCATTTAAAAAATATGGGCACTGTTTATATGTGCTGTGAATAAAATTAGCTAACGTCTCGCACTGGGAGTTACTGAAAACTAAAGAATTTGGTCTGTATTGGCTGCGCTTACTCCATGGACAACCCTTCGTACAGCGAGCATTGTGACTGCGAATGACTCACGTAGAGCTGTCATTGCTCGCTAGTATCTCAACTTACCTGAATTGGCTTTCGTGCCCGAAGGAGCGCTTGTTCTCTGGACGAACATTCTCTCTCAGCTGGTAGGGCTGCATAAACCCCGCATGAACGACGATTGGAGTCTTGAACAATGTGGAAATTGTTTAGTAACTTCTAGTGCGCTGCGGCAGCTATTTTTTTTACAGCGTATATAAATAGTAAATATCTATCTATAGAAAAAATGAGTCCAGATTTCGATCTGCACCTGATGAAATGTCTCTTGTAAGTGCTATTGCTGGTTCTCAGTCGGACTCCTGACAACTTGTGGTTCTCGGAATTATTGGAACCAATTATTAAACAGACAATATATTGTTTTTTTTTTAAATTTATACAACGTTTTGAATCTTATAGCTTCATATTCTTCTTCAGATATATTTTATTTAAATATAGAAACAATAATTACACTTAGAATTATTGCATTTAAGGAAATTTTATACATTTTAAACAATGAATACATTTAGACTATTATTATAAGTGTAATTATTGTTTGTTACATTTATAGAAAATATATCTGAAGAAAAATATGAAACTGTAGTATTCGAAACGTTGAGTAAATTAAAAAAAAAGAGATTGTCTGTTTGATAATTGGTTCCAATATTTCCTCAATAAATACAGCGATTAATGAATAGTGGTGTTGCTGTGCTCACCCGGTGATTCCGCCCGCAGGTCCCGTCGTGAGCGCGCTCACCAACAAGTTCGGTTGCCGCGCCGTGTGCATCGCCGGCAGCATCATCGGGTGCGTCGCCTTCATCCTGAGCACCGTGTCGCCCGACGTCAACACCCTCATGCTCACCTACGGCGTCCTGGGAGGTGGGTGCGGCAGGCCGCGTGCCACAATGTTGCTATGTATGACAGATGCTTTACAGACGATGAAGGACTCTTCGGACCTCTCTCATTCTGTTAATGAGAGACATCTGCCCACCAGCGAACCTGGAAAATCGGCGACAAATTCAAATTTGAATACATAAACAAAACATTTAGGAGTTCTGTCGTTTCTAATAAACCTATTATTTAGGTTATTATTACTAGTCATTATTTTATTTTATTTGTCTGTATATTTATATATTACATTTAATGTTTTTGGAATATAAAAGTAAATCTACAATGTCACAAGCATAACAAAGCAGTGATTAAAAAATTTAATTTCTGCATTTAATCGGAAAATGATAAGTATATACGTAATAAAGCACTTACAACACAAAGTTTGTAAGAACTTGTAGACTTCGTGACATACAGCTTCTCATCACAAGGAAATCAAAAAACGATTCTTCTAAATGTCATAATTTTTGCAATCAGACACAGCTCACACCTTTCCAACCATGTGGAACGTGGAAATTTACCTTTTATTCCTATTACCTTACACTTAAATCTATTGTATTGGATTGGAAAATAACAGATAACTTTTATCCTTTAAGGTTTATAATACATCACTATTATTTTTTAACGAAAATAAAATGATTTTTGTGGGTTCCATCCCATGGAAATTATACCAAAATGTGTACTAAAGTACTGTGCGAATAATTGAATTAAAAATTTCGATAATGAAAAATTCTACATTCTCAGCTTATATGTCAGCATTCAATAGAAGTAATAATAAAATGTGAATGTTATCCAAATATGTTGACATCTGTTTGCTTTATGTTGCGTATGAACGACGTTGTGCAACAACAACAACAATATTTCTTCACATTGGGCTCCTTTTTACTAATACACTTATTCTTTTTTTCCTTGAAGCTATTAGTATGGCCGCCATTTTCCTCTCGATGCAGTCCCATCATCCCGAGCTTTCATTAACAATTTATCGTATGCTCACTCCTCCACGTACATTACGACATAAACGAATTTAGAAATTTCAGTACTCTTCCGAAACGCGGAATTGCCCGAACGTCGTAAAAAGAACTCGTGGGCGTTAGGGGTTTACGAGCGAACTTTTTATGCGCGATTCGTCCTTCCTCTGTCGCTGGGCACTGCGATTGAGGAAGGGCGATGGAAACTGCAGGTCGGAGGACTGGAATACAGAACGTTTAGATTGCGTGACTCCACGTCAGGTGCATCGTGGGTCTCACAAAAGTAGAGTCCCGTATTCCATGCAGACTTACGTGAAAAGAATTTCAACTCAACGCTAAACTTGAGAAGTCTTCTGTTAGTCAAGGTGTGAATTGGTAGTTTAACAGCTGAAATAAAGCTCTAATTCTACAAATCCGAAAGGCCAAGGGAGTGTGGTAAATCGGTAGACATCTTAAATTTTTAGTCCCTTACACAAAATCTCGAAAAAAACTTAGTTGTATGCGTTTTAAACGTGTGTGACCTGTACCAATCAACGAACTAATCTAAGAAGTTCACCATGTCTTGCAATGTGTGAATATATAGTAGTTGCCTCGAAATAGTATGTTACTGAAAATTGTATTAGGACTAATCCGCATGAGTCAAGAATTAATGTGGAACGTAATGTGCGTGTGTGATGTAAAAAAAATTGAAGGTATAGAAACACATCGTTCATAGCCTATGAATTGTGACACTTTCGCTGGGATATTCTCATTATTTAAAATGAACATGAACTTTAATAATAATTAGTTATCTTTAATTTGACCATTAGAAGGCTTAAATTAAGAATGTATTCCATTCACCGACTAAATTATTATAATTTCATTGGCTTTACACATTTGTTATGGCCCTTACTGAAATGGCAAAATCCTTTTGACTTGTCAAGAATGGAACCGATACGCCCCTCTATCTTCCATTTCTCGTTCCAATAATTCCAATTTGTTGGTCAGGTCTCCGAATGCTGGAACTGTAAGACCAATCGTTACACACCGAATTGCTTTCTGGAACTTTTCTGGTGAGGCTGGTGATTAATCGAGCTTCGGAAATCAAGACATATGTTTGACTATCTTCCAAACTAATCAGAAAAGTCTTTGGCCTTTAAGAACCATGCAATTTCAAAACTTGTCAAGTTTATAATTATTAATTGTATTATGTTGTAAGAGTTTTAATTAAATTTCAAAATGTTTTTGATTTTTTAAATAGAAAATCATATGTGATTATCTTTCTTCAGAATGCGTAAACATTTCTTAATAGAAAATTTAAACATTAAAAGGAGCTTTTCACAAAATACCATGGGCGGGATGGCCCAAACTGGTAAAAATTTGAAGTTCTTGATGAAGCTTGGAGAAAATATTTAATAGAAATTTTTTCTTTCATTGAAGCGTATCCAAAGACTAATAAATTTTACTTTTCCTTCAAATTCAAATATAAATGAATTATTCATTTAGCTTTTTTATTTTTCCTTACTCGCATTCTTTAGTTCTCGTTTATCTGACTTCTGACATGCGTGAGAGTGGGGATGGGTGTCATTACAAAATATGAGGTTTTAACTTTTTTTCACTTTCTGTTCAATCAGAGGGTTGTAACCACTCAAAAAATCAAATTATGAAATAACTAATTTTTAAAGGTCACAAATCATAAAACAAAGAAAACGTAATAGTGACAGTATTCAAGCGACAATATCCTGTTTCAACTGTTTTTGACATTAAATAAATACATACAAAATATCTTCACATACTATTTTGAATATTCAATTTTAAAGTTCGTACACTAAGTATTTTGATTTTCACATACGACAAAACAATAAAATACAAAGAAAACAAAACTCTAAAAGGGCCGATAGCGTGGCCTTTGTTATTTAATAATATTCAAGGAAAACGCCATCCACAAATTGTAATTTTTTACGTTTTCCTCCAAATCAGTTTTGTCTAATTATTGGATTTAAAATCCCAATAAATTAGGCAAAAATTACTAAAAAGCGGTGAACAAAGCAAAAAAGTTTGAAGTTACAAACTGAAGGTTCCGTTCTGGGGGAGTAAAATCCCCCGGTATGAAATTAAAGTGTAGCATGAGCACAGGTACGAATTCATACGAGGGTCTGTAGTTTATTCCCATCCCTAACTGGGTGTTAAAAGCCTCTACACTTGATTTACTCGCACCACGGATTGTTAAGTAAAATACTCCCGAATACGATGTGTGAAACGGATATTTTTAATGAGAACGTATGCTACCGCGACCTAGACATAGGTGTCAATTTTCAATATTGAACAAAATCGTGTGTACATTAAATTAAATTCACATTTTGTAACATTACTGAACGAGGAGCCCATTTCTAAGTCAGACAAAATACAAATCGAAATGATTGATGTCGATTTCGAATCGTCTTTAGTATGTCCCTTGCAATAAACGTAGTCTCTACATCACTCTCACACCAAGTGTCTTCAGGCTTCCGCCTTCTAGTTAACTTTCATGCGTTCGTCGGTGGCCTAACTACGCCAAGGAGAAATAAAATTCGCCGCTGCGGCAGGCACGGCTATCGCGAGCCGTTCAGCAGGCTGTGGCAACGCAAGCCTTTAATTTCAATACACGCGTGCCTCGCTTGCCCTTCCGTCGCCTGTGATCGTGAAGCGGCTGCGCTCAGCCGAGAAAGAAAGTTAATGAAAGGGGGAGAGATGAACAAAATTGCCAGGAAGGAAAGGCGGGCAGACGGGAAACGGCGCGTGGCACCCATATTAACACACGACGACTCGAACGACTCAGGTCCAGATGGATGACTTGCTAGCGCAGCGCCTCACAGGGCGACAAATCTTGTTAGGGAAGAAGCTGACTGACATAACGACGGAGAGACAAACATGCCGAAACTAGAAACAGGATATTTAAAATATACGGTCCTATTATGATAAATGTAACCACATAAGGATAGATTTTCTAAATTCCTTTTCTGAAGGAGTGAAATAGGTTTTGTTGTTGTTGAATGCGGAGAGGTGGCTTAGGGCATCAACTGATGTCATTGCAGTGCCTCTGACCAGGTTCTAGTCCCGACGGTGGCAGGATTTTCTACACTAGCCAGATAGCTAGGTCGAGTTCTTTCGCTGTCTGGAGAAGAACTCTAGCGACCGGCTACTCTGATCGGTAGTTTTCTGTGGTTTCTCCAATCAAAACCAGGGGAATGCCGGAGCGGTACTCTAACAAACGGGCCACGGACTGCCATATTTCCTTCCGCTTCCTTGTCTTATCCACATCCCTTAGTTACACACATTTACACTGAGATGCACTACACCACCACGCACGCAGGAAGACCATACGGTTACTTACAGTTTGCCCCGTCTGGGGCATTGCCCCACTGGTGGGAGATACCTGGTTGACGAAAACCCGCTCACTGACTGGTAGGTCGGCGCCGGATCTTGCCACCTAGCGCGGGTAGATCACGGCGACCTCCCGTGAAAAAAAACCGAACTAATACCATGGACGGGACTAATGACCTTAGCATTTGACTCACCCGGAATCACTAATCAATGGATCAATGAAATATTGTTGGATGCGTCTAGGCATTCCGAGTTGCGATGCACAGGTGCAAGCGGGGCAGGAACGGGGACGGGGAGGGGAAGGTGTAGGGCGGGGTGGGGGATGGACGGGATGGACTGACGAGGGGAGAGGCAGGACTCGGTCCGTCGGACGGTTGGTTGGTTAGTTTTTTAGTGATTCCGGGCGCGTCAACTAAGTAGGGCATTATTCCCGTATTTGGAGTTCATGTTTTTCCCCGGGAGAAGGCGGTGAGCTTTCCCCGCTGGATGGCGAGATCCGGGGCCGCCCTACCGTCGGCTAGCGGGGTTTCTCCCAACCAGGCATCTCCCACCAGAAGGGGCACCGCCCCAACCTGCTATAGTCATTAACAGCTATGTTCATTAGCCCCGTTAATAAAGTCTCAGAAAGTGGCGTTGTTCTAGCTGGATGGTGAGATTCGGCGCCGACTTATACGTCGTCTTGCGGGAGACGTCCCCTCTCCAGGTGTCTCCCCCAGCAGGGCACCGCCCCAGCTCTTTTCTCCCGACATGTCATGTTAGCGTGGGGGGGGGGCACGGTACATGGTGTGGTGATTGTGTAGTGCATGTGTATGTGAGAAAGGGGTGATAATAGGACAAGGAAGAGGAAGGAAAGGTCGGTCAATGACCCGTTTGTTAAGGGTGCCGCTCCGGCATTCGCTTAATATTGATCGGACTAGCTATGGAAATCTGCGATCAGAGCAGCCGGCCGCTAGAATTGTGGCCCAGATAGCGGCTTAATGCGAGCTCGCTATATAGCAAGTGTGGAAATTCGCTAACGTAGGTCTCAAACCCTAGGATCTCCTGGTCAGTCACAGCTGAGACAACGGCGATGTCCACTTTTAGACGCTCAACGGCGGCGGATTTTTCACCCTCTTTGTGTGGGCCAATTTACCATACTTGCTGTAGTGAACTGTAAACGGCTAGGCCATAAATTACGTAAAGGGGAGGGAGTTTGAAGCAGTTATGCTACTGTGACGTCATGGATACTCACAGCGACCACAGACACAGAGCTTTCGTATAACATCATAGCTTAGGTTAACAAAGAAAACAAAACAAAATAATACACTTAATTACCCCTAGCTCTGATAAGACCTACTATCCCCTGATACGACGCGTAGCGATCCAAAGCCGAATGAAGATGGTTTGATTGTGGCATTCGCCACTCCTACTTTGAAGCGCTGCTACCAAAGCGGCTAAGCTTCCGTGACCCGGATGTCACGCTGGACCCAAAGGTTCGTTCTGGCGCACCCAACGCGCTGATAGGTTGCCTCGATTCGCAGCTAGCGATCTCTTATCCGATGAGAAGTCGGCGTGAATGCTATGGCGCTCAACCACTCTTCACCTCGAGCACGCACACAGCATCGCTCCCTTCCGTCGACCGCGTCACGCCAAGGATCTAAGTCCGCTTAGGCTTCGTCAACTAGTGACTCGAGCTCGCGAGCCTGGCTGCGCATATGCACCGTCGTGGCGCCAAGTTTTGTGCACACGCACGAGGTTCTCCCGCCTGTCTCAGATATCCCACCCACTGTCTCTGTACACTCTGTTATATATTGGCGAGGGCCGCGCGTGACCTTACTACGTCCGCCACCCTTGCTTGTTATACCACAATGTAAAAGCTCTTATAAGCCGCGGAAACTCCACAAAGCCCTTGTGTCTCCGTTTCCGCGTTCTTCTCTTTTACGGAAAAACCCTACTTCCTAGTGGCTAGGCTTAATCGCCTCCCCGAAGCGTCCCCAATTAGATGCCCATGCAGGCCACGCGTGGCATAATACGTTTACACTTACGTTACGCTAGCGGGTAGGGAGAGTTACCTTATTGCTAGTAACGATGATAACTTATAAATCCTGTGTTTCTCTTTCAATCTGTCAACAATGACGAACGACTCCGAAGCAAAATATCCAAGACCTGATAAAGTCTTATAGTCTATTCGAAAAATTCAGGAAAATTAATAACTGACCTATTAACGCCACCTTGCCTAATTAACGAAGGGTATCTGGCTCAATTCTGTATTGGGATAATAGAGTATTCTCCTGCCCCGAACGGTCCCTTCCTTCCCTCAAAAATTTCACCTCATTATATTGTTTAGGTGCAGCTCCGGCGATCACTCTACGAATTCTTTCAGTGTCTTTTATTTAGTCGAGATAAGCTCACTTATCATTCTTACCGAAAATTGTCGCCTAGACTATAACCATAGCCTACACCACATTTTTACTAGCTTATTAAGGCTAGTAAATACATTACTGTATTTAGTTTTAAGCTATTTTCAGTATGTAATGCATGTAGAAACCTAAAGTAAATTGAATGTGAAGTAATGGCAAATGTATCTGATACTCATTTTTTATATCAAATATTAATGCACTTTTGAACCGGCTCATCTGGAAATGTTACTTTATGAGCGCCCCCACCCCCTATCACCATTATATTCGAGTGGGAGGCCTTGCCTTGCAAAATATTATTAGCCAGTGATTTCCTAATAACTTGGACTGTACTGTTAGTTTTTCAATGAGCATACAAACTAATTTTGCCAAATTTGTTACTAAAAATCATTACATCTTCCAGAAGAACAAAAATGTTTAATTCTAGTAATATAAACTTTGTGCATATTGAACTGATTTTATGAACTTTTATGTTAAGCACCTACACAAACATAGCCCTTTTGATTTTGTATGAAAAGGATAATTAATTTTTTTGTTATATCTTAATGTGTTTTCAGTTATTAAATTTTCTTCTGTAGTATTTTAAAACACATCATTACAAACAGTAAAATGTGAATGTTTTCAATTTATTGTGTTTTCCAAATCTATTTGATATGTTCCAGGCATTGGATTTGGCCTCATATACCTGCCTGCTGTGGTGTGTGTAGGCTACTACTTTGAAACTAAAAGATCTCTTGCTACTGGTATTGCTGTCTGTGGTTCAGGATTTGGTACATTTGCATTTGCTCCTCTTGCAACATATCTTTTGGATGAATATGGATGGAAAGGGGCCAATCTCATTTTATCTGGCCTTATTCTAAACTGTGCTGTAAGTATCAGCAAACCTAAAGATGACCGACATACTACTGCTGAATTGATCTGATTTTTTTAAAAAAAATAGTTGTTCTGTTACCATGTAATATATTGGAAAAATAATATTCTTTATACTATTGTACATTAAACCATTAAGAATTAAATGAATTTACAACAAATTATTTATCAACATTTATTTTTTCAGTTATTAAAGTACTGCGATACTTCATTTTCTGCAATGTTGGTATACTTTTTTAATCACTAGCTATTGCAGTGCTCTCATATAAAGTATGAAAAGTAAAGAATTAAGAATTAAGGTTGTAAAGGCAATGAATAAGATATATCTGAAAGGATAACTTTTAACAACCAGTGCTCTCTGAAGTAAGTTTCCACACAATTCTTATGTGTAGGTGTTTGGAGCATTAATGAGGCCTCTGGAATATCCTAAATCACCACGTTGTAAGCCACTTCTCCAACGAATGGCTGAAGAGAAACGTTTTCAAATGGAGAGAGGTTCTATTGGAGGATCATATTTCATGGTTCAACTCCCAGATGGCAGCATGGAGAAACGCTTGAAAATGCCCATCAACATAGATCCGGGAGTGCATTCAAGTTTTAACCTTGACCAGCTTGTACCAGGAACTCCTATAACACCAGTTCCAACTGTACCAACACTTCCAACCATCTCTGAAGTAAGAACTATTGTAAAATTTTATTGCAATCATTGTGTGAAACTGAACTTATTAATAAATACTATGGTCACTAAATCTATTTATGTTGTTACTCACTGATTCTTATATTTCTAAAGGTTAAAGTACCAGAACAAAGTGGGTCATCTGGAGCTTCTAGCACTGGAAGTACAGAACTTAAAAATGGAGAGAAGCAGCGTCGCAATTTAAGAATTGAAGATGTTAAGGAAGAACAAGAAAATAGTAAAGAAAAGGACAGCAAAGAAGAGAAAGAGAAAGATGAGAAGCAAACGGAAAAGAAACTTAATGAAGAAAATGGTTTGGAATTTACTGCTCGAGCTAACCTGCCTCGCAATGCTTCACAACCAGCCTTCACTACACATGTTCAAGGACTTCCAAAGAATGGTGTGTTGAAATTCATATTCATTTGAACATGTGTAAAGTTAATCCTTATCGTGTTTTTGTTTTTCTGTAAAAATTATTTACCTTGAAACTTTCTTGTTCAAGAAACCTTTTCTTATTCTTACTCTTTACTACTTTGATAATCATATTTTTTTAAAATTACTTTCAAAATGTATCAAATTGTATTTTATTATTATAATTAGTTGTTATTGTACTTTTATTATAAGTTTTTATTTTAAATTTTCAGGTTCAGTGCCATTTTTTGATCGCATCCGCAAAACAAGTGCTGGAGAACGATATCGCCCTACGCTCCAGGCAATTAAAGTATCCCGCTCTAACATGAATTCAAATGGTGACATACGTCGATCGTTGCATCTTCGTCTATCAAATTCATCTTTTCTTGGCAGTCGCAATAACAACTGTGATGACATGTGGTCCAAGACTGATGTGAGTATTAATAATAAGGATGTGATCGTTTTTTAATGATATATCTTTTATCAGTTAAATGTTCAAATTTTCTCCTCAATATTGTTTTGTAATTCTATTGTTAATTTTTTATTTATTAATGACTAATGTTGATAATATTTCCTTGCCTGTTCATAGATGGGAGACAACGAAAGTATTATGTTTAGCACCTCCAAGTCCAGTATTCCTAGGGAGCGTAAAGAAATGATTCGCCCCATGTCACGCAAAGATATCTTCTACTCTGGCAGTGTGATGAATCTTCCAGAATACAAGTCACAAAAGTCATTGGCCAGCTATCGTCAAAGTGTCATGTCCCTGCCAAAGTACGCACAAGAGCGTGATGGTGTTGTTGTGGATCCTGAAAGGGCAGGTAAGATTTGATTGTTAATATGTAAAGAAGATTTTTTATCTTCAAAACTATTAAAAGCTAACATAAAAATAGCAAATTACATTGTTTTCAAATACTTTGAAAGTAAATTTTCTTTCTTTTCAGAATAAATTGAAATTTTTTTTTTTCTATTGTATTCCAAAATGTGTCTATTTTTTAGATAGTTGGAAAGACAAATGATGTTTGAATAAGGTTTCAGTTAAGATTCTTCATTATTTACACGGTTGATGTTTTGTAATCCATACTTATCCCACTAACTGAATAATTTTTGGTGCTAATAAACAATGAACATTTTGTTGCAGATCCATGCCCATGCTGCACATTCTCGGAAGCTTTCAAGTCGACTCTGGCCTCTATGATGGACGTCTCCCTGCTCAAGGACCCTGTGTTTATGCTCATCAGCATAAGTAACTTCTTTGGAATGATGGGTCTCTATGTTCCTTTTGTGTACCTTGTGGATTGTGCTATAAAAGCAGTAAGTAGGAAGACACAAGCAGAAACACAAGTTTTTTTATAAAAAAAAAATTGTTCTACAAGGTATTTCTTTTTAAAGGGAATTGATCCAGGCATGGCTTCGTATTTACTGTCAGCCATTGGTATTACCAATACTGTGGGCCGTGTTGCTTGCGGCTTTGTTGCTGATTTGCCAAAGGTAGATTCCCTCTTGCTCAATAATATCTGCCTTGTTGTGAGCACTTTGGCTGTAGCTGCTACTCCACTTTGCCAGTCCTACATGTCATTCATGGTCATGGCTATATTTTTTGGTGTTGCTATCTGTAAGTATCCTGAATTATTTAGTATTAATTACTTTAGTATTAATAAATATTTAAGTCAGTTTGGGAAGTTCATTAATTTATTATTGTTTTTAAATTTTTGTGTATTGAATGTAATGAATATCATATGTGATTGTTGAAGTGAACTTCAATAGATAAAAATATCTGATTTCATATTATATCTTCTTTCTTGAGAACAAAGTGCCAAAAAGCTTAAAATCTTCAATATGAGAAAACCTTTTACCAAAATAGATGATTGATATTAGTATATATGAAACATTACAAAATAGATTATAATATGAATTTTTTTTATTTATTACAATTTCTCTTTTTATTATTTCAGCGGGCTACATTTCTCTCACTTCTATAATATTGGTAGATTTGCTTGGGTTGGATAAACTCACCAATGCATTTGGCCTTCTCATCCTGTTCCGTGGAGCTGCTGCTATTGTGGGATCTCCTCTTGCTGGAGCTGTGTATGATGCAACTCAAGACTATACCATTTCATTCTACATGGCTGGTGCATTCTTTGGAGTTTCAGCAATTACCAGCTTTCTTGCTCCTACTCTTAAACGATGCACTACTCCTACAACATTGCCACCACTGCCTGATGCTCTTACACCAATTGATGAAGATGTTGAAGAAGAAAATGATGATGACAATATGCCAAACAATATTCCTGAGATAGTAGAAACAGCCGCTTCACCAATCAACCCAGTTGCAAATCAACCAACAGAAATCAAACAAATTGAGTCTGTACTTTGAAACAGTTTTGAAAAGGTAATATATCTAATGAAATTTATTATTTTAATTTTATGTTTGATATGCTATGCATGAGAAAGTTTGGAATGCTACAGCAGAAGTTAGAGTATTTTATTGACACAATGAAATTCAAAAGATACCCAATAAATTTAGGCATAATGGAGGGGATCATAATATTTCCATAAATATAAATTATTTATTAAGTTCCAAAATCAGAAATATGGCAAATCTATTTCTTATAGATGATTTTGAAAAGCTGATAATGAATGACTTCATAGAAGTAAAAATTTGGCAATGCTATCAAATAATTCTGTCATTTACACCAAAATGCTTTTATTTTAACATATTATTTTACTTAAAGTTTTAATTTATGCCACATTTAAATTTTTTTATTCTGTGTGAAAACATTTTTGATCTCTGCAGTATTCACTAGTAATTAAGGTTGGACATAAAAGTATAAAATATGTTCCAATTCTTCCCTTGTGCTTTTATTATTTAAAAATTTTAAATTCATCTCGACTTCTCATTCAAGAAGAAAAGGCTATTCTTATTATTTGATATTGAGAAAATAATGGTTTAAAATGATTTACTACTTTGTCATTTTGTATAAATTATAAAACTATGGGTTCCAAAGAAGTAAATAAATTGATAGGCTGCAATTCCATAATCGATGACTGGTCTCATTGTTACAAATTACAAAACAATATTAATCAATTAATAATTTTTCAGCTTCATAATCAGGAATGTTTTTTCCTAAATACATTTTACCTACTATTTTCTGGACAACATTTTCAGATCATTAAGTAGAATAACTGTCCTAAATATCTTTTAACTTCATTCCATTTGCATTTCTTCATATCAATTCAAGAACATAAAACCTATTATTTCAATTGTCAAATATTCAGTGGTGCAACCAGGATTTCCTTATAGTGGGAACATCAATATAGTGTTCACCTGACTTTGATTTCTCATAAAGAATTTTGTTGGATTAGAAAGAAATTGTGAGATGTTAATTTATTGTTTGTAAATGGGAGAGTGAACAATTATTATTTCTATTGAAAATATTTTGAAATATATAGTTAAGAGAAATATAAACAAAAACAAACACAGTGTCTAACTTGAATTTAAATTATACAGAAGATATTTTGTAATTTTCCATGTAGTATCTTAATATTTACATAATATATGATTGTCATGAAGTTCTATTGAGCAGTTCCTTTTTCTTTACATCTTACAGTGATGGATGCAGTTACAATTTCAACGTGGAATTTGTAATAGGAAGTGGAGTGATGTTTATAATGTTTTCTTCAGTAGAAAGCTCAGATATAATCTCATAGTTCTTTAAAAACTCAAGCTTTTTTGGTCACATTTCAGCCATCTTCAATTCTGCAGTTAATAAGAAATATGTAGTAATTGCAAATTTGATAAAAAGAAATAAGTAGTTAAATTAAACTAATAAATATATAAAAAATAATTTAAAATTAACATTAATTACAATTAACTTTCTAGGTTAATGTTTATTTAATCAGTTGTTACTCTTTGCGATATTTGTAATTATAAGTTTCTAATTTATTTTATCATGGTAGATTATCGCAATGTGACCAAAAGAGCTTTATGGGATATAAAAAAAATATGATATATCGGAGCTTTCTGTTGAAAATTATTAATATTCAGATTAGTGAATATTGAAAAAGGAACCTAATCTCATACGGAATATAATTGAACTGTAAATTAACAAAATAAAAGTAATTTGTCATTATATAACAAACATTATTGGAACAAACTCTACTATTATAACATCTCATTGTTTCAGATGACTTTGTTTTGAGGACAACTACGCAGCCTCTTTCTGAAGCAGCTTCTTTGACTTTGTTTCATGAAAGCTTTTTGCTTCTGTGTATGAAAGCAAATAAATACTGAATGTTTCAAATTGGAAAAACTGACGCATTTCTTAGACATTTCAACATGCTGCTTTTAATAAATTGAAAACTTTCACATTTCGAAATAACGAGAGAAATGAGTTGCTGATTTTTTTTTAGCACTCAGTACGTATAATAAAATTATCGCTAAATGTATGTAGCCAAAAAAATTTTAATTGTGAGAATCATTGAAATGTATTACAATAATGTAAAGAATGGTCAGTCATTTGAATCCCAACATTCTTTTTGAAACATTATTTCATTTCACATCTTCTCCAAAATTTATAGTTTGAAATAAATTTGGGAGTGGACATGATTTGTAATATGATTCTACTGATTAACAATATCTTGAAATCATAGACATTCAATATTCTCAGATGTAAGGAAATGTGAATGATACCTATAACTAGAAAATATTTCTTGTTGTGAATGCAATATATTTCACCACAGCAAATAATGATGCTGCACTCATATAATCTTTTTCACTGTTTCCATTAAATGGCATATAGTGCATGTTTCTAATCACTAAAAATGTCATACAAAATACTATTTGTACTAAATCAAATAGTAGTAGTTAACTGCCTCCATTGACATATGATTGATATCAATGATTATGAATAAGGTACAAAATCGATTCAAGAGGGGAGGTGGTAGAAAGATAGACATACTAAACAGGTGTAACTGAATAAATGTTTTATTCATTAACTGTGATAAAAAATAATGTGCATGGAGACAGCATGTACAAAGTGTACATGAGTGGTATGTTGTAACAAAGATCAGGTTTTCAATATGTCAGTAAAGTAATACAGAGAAGAAGACAGCATGTCAATATTTTGTTATTTGTACAGTTTTTGAGAGGAAAAATGCAAGATGGAGCGAGAAAGAAGATGAAAGTGAAAAGATGAATTTAGTGATGAACAGTTTTTGAGATATGTGGAACATAACTTTCCAAGACAGTTAATAATTTTTGAGGAAAAAGAAAAAGAGACATTTGGAAGTTTCTTGTGATGTGGACAAGAGTGACTGTGCAACTTAGTAAGAAAAGTGTGTGTTTTTTAATCATTTGAAGATGAGTTGTAGTGTATGTGTATGAAGATTTTTATCTATTCTGGTGCTAGAGTATTACATTTTGTTGATGGAACTTATTCTAAGCATAAGAAGTTTGGTCATTTCAAAGGCCTGTGTTATTGTGAAATTCTGTACATTTAGGAAACGTACAGTCGTATACTTTTTGTCCTTTTTATGATGAGAATTGGTAAATAATTTCTTTTAATAATATTAAGTTGTGGGTGGGTGGAAAATGACTGCTTGCCATTTTACATTTGAAGGATATATGCTTTGGTGAACTTGGCACTTTGCATAGTATTCACTGTTACACAAAACATATGTACATTCTCAACTATGTTCATTAGAAGTGACAGATAGTCCAAACAAGATAAAAATCTTGTTGAAAATTTAATTTAATATAGAGAAAATGTATATTAATTTATCTGTTTACAGTAGCAGAGATATTAAAGAAACAAATCATACATGCATGAAGAATTGTAACTTATTTGTTACATGTTCTAAATGGAATATTTTATAGTTTTGTTGCAAAAATATAAAAAGGAATAGTCTCAGATAATTACATGTGTTTGTAGTAATCAAAACATTGTAGCATAAGCAAATATATTGGCTATGAACTTTTAATATTGTACTATTGAAGACCATTAATGTGACTTTATTTTGTTGTGTTTCTTTATTCAAATAATGTGTAATGAAAATATTGGCTTGAGTATTAGTATTTGTTGCTTGAAAAAGTATAGTATTTTAATTTTGTATTCCATCAGGCTATTATAGTGGAGCTTCAATCAGTTTCCAAATTTATAATTTGAAAATTGAAATATAAGTAAGAGCCCATTCAAAAGCCAAGTGCATACCTTGCAATTCCGAATTATTTTGTTTGCCTGTTAAACTTTTGTTTATAAAAATATTAATTCAAGAACATTCTTTTTTCTCTGGGGTCATGGTAACAGATCACAGAGTTTACATTTTATGTCTAGTTTATTGTGTCTTCATAATGTACAAATAATTGTTACAATAGTGAACTTCTTTGTTCTGTTACCAGTGATGAATTCTTATGTCCTCTCCACCCATCCTTATTTAGCAATATACCATTAGAAAAGTTGATCAAAATTGTTGATTATCACACTAATTATTTATCATAATTACTGCTAGAAATCTATAAAGATCAATACAGGTAAAATATTACTATACCTAATGATTACTTGTCGAAGTGTGACTATATGAGCCATGTGAACATATTCACTTGTAAGTATGGATAATAAAAAAATAGGAAATCAGTAAAAGTGTAATTTATTTGCAATTTTTCAAAACTACCTGCAAAGTTATACATGGCAAATATAGATATTGAAGAATAGGCTCCTGATAAAAATACTTTTCACTATAAAACAATGCTTAAATTATTTCAAGACATTTAAGACATGACATTAAAAGTGACAGACCTTTTGGTGGCAAATAATCACAGAATAATTAATATAAAGTAAGAACACAAGATTTTTGACAAACATCAATGAATTGTTGTGCCATGTATAAATATAACACATTCAAGATTTAAAATATTGATAAAGTCTATTATTTGGGGTTTAATAAAAAAAATTAAATAATTTCTTAATATTGCTGTGAAATGTGAGAATAATGCAGCAAAATTAATTATAGATTTCATTTCATTATAGATTTGATATACTTGCAAGGAATTAAATTTGAATGAAAAGAGCATTTTCTAATTGGAGTAGCACACTTTCTGTGCATGCCATCCAAAGGTTAATGCTTTGTATGACTGGTCTTGTGTGTTAGAATGCAAAGTATTTATCTCAATACAGTACACCTTTAAATGTAATTACAAGAAATAAAGCACCTTGTTTGCAAATGTGCTCCAATGGCTTAACAATGCAATGAATCTTGAGCTTTCTGCCAGAGAACTGTGTTTTCAAAATGATCCAGGGTTTAGTGATTTGGGTCTGTTACATATTAATGCCATGACAATGAATATCAGCCTTTACAAAAACGTTATGGCTAATGCATTTTATTATTTTAGTGTTGTTTATCAGTTATGGTCATGCAAGTCTGATCTTTCAGAACAGTTACATGTTACATTATACCTGATAATAAAAATACCAAGAGCAAAGTTCTTAATTGTACTTCTACTGTGATAATATTTGTAGGTAGGGTTTGTACATATACAGTTGAAGTGAGACTTTCTTTAAATGTTAGCAATCTCCTAAACATTACTTCTTGTACATAATTTCCAGAAGTTAAGAATAAATTGTTATATTGCTGTAGTGTGTAACAATGAAAAAGACCAGACTTCATGATCAATTACCTACAAAAGGTGTATATTTAATATGAATATCAGGGAAAATGTTTTAGTTTTAAAAATTATTCATTGTTTCATGTGTGAATGTGATAGGAAATTGAAGGTGAGAGTAAGCCTTATTTGTAATAGAAAAGACATGAATGGGAAAACTAAAATGTTCCAAAGTATGAAGTGTTTCTATATGGTGGGTGGCTCTTCATTATGAGAAATTTGTCCATATGGACTATTAACAGGTCTTAACACTCTACACAGCAATGTACTTAGGTGAACACTCACAGTTTACAATAGACAGAGCTTCTTTATTTTTTGTTAGGGATGGTATTAAATGACTGATTTTTCTGAATGAGAAAGAATTTGTGTGGCAAACTGTGTTTACTTGTCAGCCACAGAATGTATTGTGATATTTTAGAGACAGAATTCTCTCATGTAGAGCATAATACTTCATTCCACATTTGTGAATGTTACTAGTAGAATAAAAATATATGACTGTTGTTGTCACAGCTAATACAATTCACAAGTAAATTTAATGAATGTCTTATGGTGGCAAAAGACACCACACAGTGAATTTAATAATTCGTTTGTCCCTTCAAATAAATCATCTATTAATTAGAACATATTAATAACAGTATCTGTATATCAAACTTTTTGCTATTGAACAGGCTGTGAATACAATTGTTCTTAATGTGAATGTTTTAATAAGTACCTCCTAAGTGCATATGCTTCATGTTATAAGCGTTACAATAATTATAGTCATATATTTTTCTCACTGCTTTAATAAACTTGCCTTGTGTGAGATAAGTAGATGACTAAAATGAGGAGGTATATTTTACAAGTATATATTTTCACTTGGCCTGAAGATTGATGAGAAAATGAAAATAATGTGCAAATAAAAATACTTCCACATATTTCCATTGAAACACGTATAGGATACTACCTATTTTGAGAAAAAGATACTTGGATGGGCTATTATCTAATGTAAACAGTCTGATCATCTTTCCTGAGACTTACTACAGTCCAAGGCTCAATTGAAATCAGATACTGCTATTAATTTCTTTAGGCCAATTAATTAATACACATACAATATTAAACTTTAGTGTATAATGAGTAAATCTTGCCACAGCACTTTATGTTATGTTAAAATATTAATTTATTATAATGTTCCATTCAACATGAAAAAGAAACCATCCCTAGCTTCCTAGTTTCATAACATGAAATTATATGTCTCTAGGAGCAACATTTTGCACTAGCTTGTGAAATGACTTCAATTCAACCTTATACATTCTCTAAATGTGTGTAGGGGTCTTAAAAACAGTTAACTGTGTTCTTATCTCTAATTGTTATGTACTTTTAATGCAAGTACATATGAATAACAAGTAATCTTTTCTAATTGTATCAAGTTCTAACTGCAAGGAAGGATTATCTCTATTTTAATCCCATCACAGATTAGTTTCATGATTGGGTCAGTGTTGTTTAGATGCTGTGTATACAGGGCAAAATAGCTATAAAGTTACTTATTTGTAGGAATAAGGGATAATTGTAACATCCCTATCAAGAAACACATCCTAGCAATGTGGTGATAAATTGGTGACTATGAGGGAGGAACATGGGAGAATAGTTTTTCTTAATCTGCTTACCTGTAGGATAAATTATCTGAATTTTCTTCAATTTCCTGTTTGTATTATCTTTTTATAAAGACAGCTAGACTTTGATCTTTACTAATAAGAAGGGCACAAACATTGTGTGGATTGCATAATTAAAAGTTAAGCATGCATAAATGATTTTTAAATTGAAATAGAGCATACCTTGAAATTCCAGTTTTTGAGGGAAGAAGGATATTTGCTCACATCCAATCACGCTTAAAGAGTGAAAACTATTTTTACTGCTTGTAATACAGTTTTTCAGGGTGGCTGTTTTCTGGGTGCCTGTGCGATATTTGTAAGTGGTTTGAAGAAGAATGTCAGAGTACAAAAATAGGCCCTCACATTGTAGAGATGTGTGAATTGTTCTCCAATTCCTCCCATGTTCCTGTGCATTATGCTGGGCTGTTTTTCATTGGTAAGAAGTTAGTGAAATAAAGCAAAAATATATTTTGTTTGTTTGAATGTTCATTTGTGAAATGTTTAATAAAGTATATCACTAAATTAAATTGTATTTTATGCCTGGCTGAATTATATGTGTACAATAGGAATATTATTCCGCATAAGAGATCAGATCATATGTACATATAGAATTATACATACTACATAAAATGAAATACTTAACTTCTGTGGTTTCATTTTATTATATTTTATGTAGTTTCCCTTGTTTCAAAAATAGATAATTAAATGTTATCCAAATTTTTTTAACCATGATCTCCAAAGATCCATTTCCTTTTTTCATGATTTATTTTATTATCTTCTAAACTGTAAAATGCTCAAGAAGAAAATATTTTTTTTAAAAAGAGAATTCTATTTTTTTTTAAATGTTAATATTTAAATGAATAATTTAAGCAGAACCATTATTTTGAATGAAATAAAGTTAAATGTAAGAGGATATTTGTATAAACAAAAGTAGGGTAATGATTAGTCTAATAAAGTGTAAGATCAATAAGTTACACTTCAATAAAATGATAGGTGCTGTATAAATTTATCGGAATAATCAACATGAAATTTTATTCAAGTGAAAAATAACATTATTTTCATTCTATCACAGCACTGATTTTTAAACAATATTTTTTTGATTTGATAATGAGGATTGGAAGTGAAAGTTTTGAGGCCAGTTCATAAGCAAGGTACAACTCTCTCTTGTTCGTGCAAAGATTTAAAAAAAAATACGTTTATCCCGAAAATTACAGTAGTTGCGACGTGAAGTCAGAAACCTCGGAGGATATTGAATGAATGAGTGGGAGTGGTGCTGCCACCTGTTGGTAACTTTTCGTCCTCGGCGGGAAAAGTAGTCTGGCTTGCGAGGTGCATGAGTGCGCATGTGGTTCTGCAGCGAGGCGGTCGGAATTTAAACTCCAGCGGCATCTTCGCATCTTCTGTAAGTTGCCTTTTTAGCATTTTTCTCGTGTTACTGCTCAATATTACAGCTTTATTTTTGTTGAAGTGATCTTACGTTGTCTGGGATTGTGTGGAATAATATTCTCGCAACCCTTCTGTGAAATGACTCTGGTGCAGAAAATGCTCTTTTAGAGTAAAATTATACAATTTTCTTTTAAGGGTGTGGACGAAAAAGAAATCTACCAATCAAGTGATGGGCTTCTTAGAATACTAGGAGAACTATCGATGAGTATTAATGAAAAATGGGACACCGCATGGTTTCTGTTTATAAATAGAAGGGTGGGGAAGGGAGGGGGAAGAGGTCCGGGACGCGAGGGACCAGCCCACGCACGCCGCTCGTTCAATGAAGCTGCGTTTACAATTCATTTGGGAAGAATGTGGAACCCGCTTTCTTTAATCTCATCAATTAAGGAAGAAGTGGCGTTTGCAGTAAACAATAGTTAGGAATTATGATGTAAGGAAATAAAATGAGTAAAAGAACAATGTATTTGTACACATTTTACATACATAAACACACTCGCAGATGAAACTACATTCCTTGTTACGCTTACTATAATTAACAGCCTCATCAGCATATTAAGCATTCGACATTGATATGGAAAATAAGAATGGAATAATAAATATAAACTATTATAAAAAAACCTAAAACAACATTGTATTACTTATATTCAAACATAAACATTTATTGATTTCTGTTCGTAAGTACTTTGCTTTGTGCTTCGGGTTGCATAATCTCACCAAGGTCCCCGGTACCTTTGATTACATGCCACGGAAACCTGTAACTATTGGAATTTTACATACGATAGTAATCGAAATCTTGAAGTACTCGCAACGACGTAAAGAACACGCTTATTCTCTGACCTTTCGTATCAAGGACAGTAGTATTACATGAGGAACGTGTGTGAACTTCCGTATCTTTTCAGATTTTCTGGCGTGTTATCGAAGAACCGGCGATGTTTACTGTCCTCAAGGCGCGACCACACCTCGCCCACGAATCTTCTACCTCTGAAATACGTGTTAATGACGACAGCGAGTGGTTTAGCTCGATCAACGTTTGACAAGCGGCCTCAATGGCCACTGTGAGAGGGCGCGATAAAGCGTCAATAAAAGGCGACTG